CCGAAAATTAAAAAATTCATAACTCAGTCAAAATCCATCAAAACTATGTTAGTTTATCAAGGCATACTCTGTGTTACCTGCTCAATGTGATTTTTTACTTAAGAATAGTAAAGAATATCCTTGCAGTTCCGAAGGTTTCTAGAAAACTTTTTTAAAATCCAAAGTATTTTCCGTTTGTATAGTTTTTATGTACTCCACAGCGTTGAACAGGTAACATAGAGTATGCCTTGATAAACTAACATAGTTTTGATGGATGGATTTTGACTGAGTTATGAATTTTTTAATTTTCGGTGAAAACTGAGCAAAAATGAGTTGTGTCACCTCATATAGGTTTTCACTAGGTTTTGGGAACTTATTTGAAAACTAAATGTTGCCACGAGATTCAGCGTGGTTGATTATCTATGTTTTCATTCGTTTTCAGAATTACCTCACCTAAAGAAGTATCGATCCTGGGACTCTCAGGAACTGCGATGCCACACCTGAATCAGAGAAAATTAAGAGTCCGCTTGGCCTCAATTTTGCAGAGGACACTCTGGATTATATATCTATGGAAGAAAACTGATAGATTGCTATCTCAATATCCGGAAATACAAACTGCTTTTCTAAAGACCTCCTAAAAAGACGATCTTCTAATGATAAGAATATTTTTCGAAAAAGATTTTGCTTAAGAAAAACTCCTTAAAAATCGTCGAGATTCAATAATATTTTTATATATTTGTGAAGTAGACATCTCAGGCAACACGCCTGTATACCTATCTCAAAAATCATTTTTTGGACGAAAATCGACTTTTTGGAGGGGGGCGGTCTTAAATGAATTCTTATATAGAAAATCTACGAAAGTCCTTAACTAGCTATGTGTTCTGCTTTGCTTAGAACTTATATTAAATTAGACATAAGTCACATACTTAGTAAGTGCAACAATGGATTCAAAACTAGCAAACAACATATCCACCTCACAAACAATAACAGATCGTTTGCAAACTTCAATTTATCGGACAAAGATTATCAAGCAACAAAACTTAGAAAACTTTCAAATCGTTTGGCTTGATGCTAATATCAATAAAACAGATGATAATTTAGAAACAATAGCTCTGCTACGTGCTACTATTAATTGTCTAAATATATTTGATAATGTTTATGACTGCTATGACTACATAGCCGATGTCCAGAATGAAAAAGTATTTTTAATTGTATCAGGTTCAATTAGTCAAGATATAATACCATATATTCATCAAATACCACAAATTCAATTTGTTTATGTATACTGTGTTGACATCGAAAAGCATAAACAATGGGAAATGAATTATGAAACAGTGCGTGGTACATATACTAATATGAATGATATTTGTGAGCAGTTAAGTAAAGATGTTGTTACCAGTTCACATCAATTCTTATCCATGAATATTATTTCTACAAGCATAAAAGAAAAGGAAATAAATAAGCAAGAAGCTTCATTTATGTACTTTCAATTGTTAACTGAAATCTTAACTGGAATGGAACCTAAAGACGATGCAAAAACAGATATGATTAATCAATGCCGGTTACAGTATATTGGTAATGAAATAGTTTTAAATCATATCGACGAATTTGATAAGACTTATAGTCCAAACAAAGCCATATGGTGGTACACAAGACATTGCTTTTTATATGAAATATTGAATAAAGCACTTCGAATTCAAGACGTTGATATTCTTCTTAAATATCGTTTCTTCTTAACTGATCTTCATAATCAAATAAAACAATTACACTCAGAGTTTGTTCAATCATTACCAACAAAAAATAACGACAGTGAGCAAAGAAAACTGACTGCATATCGCGGTCAAGGCATAGATATAAACGACCTCGAGAAAATAAAGAATAATCTTGGGGGGCTTTTATCATTCAATAGCTTTCTATCAACTAGTACCAATCCAAACGTAGCACTGATGTTCACCGCAAATCATTCGGATATTCAATCTCTTCTTTTTGAAATAAATGCTGACTATCGCCAAGACACCAAGCCATTTTGTAACATTAAAACAATAAGCATGTTTAATCAAGAAGAAGAAATCCTTTTCTCTATAGGAAGTGTATTTCGAATTGAATCAATTGATAACTTAAGCAACGGCGTCTGCAAGGTAACCTTGACATTAACTACAGAAGAAGATGAGCAGTTGAAACAATTATCGGAACACTTCCGAATTCAACTCAACGAAATGCCCAACCTACACGCTCTTGGTGCACTCATGACACTAATGGGCAAGTACGACCACGCTCAACAGTATTTCACAACATCGATTAAAACCAACCAACAGACACACACAGATATACCACTAAACTATAATAATCTTGGATTCGTCTGCAGAGCGAAAGGCGAATACGACAAAGCAATACAATATTATGAAAACTCACTAGAAATGCAAACGAATTCGCTGTCATCAAATCATCTATTATTAGCTACTACATATAATAGCATCGGATCAGTTTATGATGATAAAGGCGAATACGATAAAGCCTTAGAATATTACGACAAGGCACTAGAAATTCGTTTGAATTCATTGCCACCAAACCATCCATCATTAGCTACAATATACAGTAACATTGGAACACTCTGTTTTGAGAAAGGTGAATACGATAAAGCGTTGCAATACTTTGAAAAATCACTAGAAATTAATGCGAATTCATTACCATCAAATCATCCATCATTAGCTATAATATCCAGTAACATTGGAACACTCTATTTGGAGAAAGGTGAATACCATAAAGCATTGCAATATTTTGAAAAATCACTAGAAATTAATGCGAATTCATTACCATCAAATCATCCATCATTAGCTACTACATACAACAATATCGCATCACTTTGTACTAATGAAGGTGAATACGCCAGAGCATTACAATATTATGAACAAACACTCCAAATTCGTACAAATTCACTACCGTCAAATCATCCATCATTAGCTGCTATCTACAACAATATTGCGTCAATTCATGATGAAAAAGGTGAATACGATAAAGCATTGGACTACTATGAAAAGTCACTGGCAATCAACACGAATTCATTACCGCCGAATCACCCAGCGTTAGCCACTAACTATAACAATATTGCGTCAATTCATGATGAAAAAGGTGAATACGATAAAGCATTAGACTACTATGAAAAGTCACTGGCAATCAACACGAATTCATTACCACTGAATCACCCATCGTTAGCCACTAACTATAACAATATTGGATTAGTTTATACCCACAAATGTGAATATGACAAAGCATTGGAATATTATGAACAGACTGTTGAAATTCACCAGAATTCATTACCATCAAATCAGCTATCATTAGCTACTACATATAATAATATTGGACTAGTTTATCATGGAAAAGGTGAACACGACAATGCATTAAAATATTATGAAAAGGCGCAAAAAATTCAGACGAATTTATTACCATCAAATCACCCATCGTTAGCTACAACATACAATAATATCGGAACGGCTTATCAGAAGAAACGTGAATACGCCACAGCATTACAGTATTATGAACAATCACTAAAAATTCAGACGACTTCACTACCAACAAATCATCCATCATTAGCTACCACCTACAATCACGTTGCATCAATTCACGATGAGCAAGGTGACTATAGAAAAGCATTGGACTATTATCAGAAGTCACTAGCAATTACCTCGAGTTTATTACCATCAAATCATCCATCACTGGCTACTGCATACAATAACATTGGATCAGTTTATGATAAGAAAGGTGAACACGACAATGCCTTAAAATATTATGAAGCGACACTAGATATCTACATGAATTCATTACCACCAATGCATCTATCATTAGCTGCTCAATACATTAGTATTGGATTAATTTATCTTAAAACAGGTGAATATCACAAAGTACTAGACGTTTCCGAAAAGACACTACAGATTCAAATGAATTTATTACCATCAAATCACCCATCACTAGCTACTACATATAACATTATTGGATTAGCTTATGATGAGATAGGTGAATACGGTAAAGCTTTAGAATATTACGAGAAGACACGAGAAATTCATTTCAATTCATTACCATTAAATCACGCATTATTAGCTCGAACATATAGTACAATTGCATCAGTTTACGATAAAAAAGGTCAATACGATAATGCATTAGAATATTACGAGAAGACACGAGAAATTCAGCTCAATTCCTTACCATTAAATCTCGCATCATTAGCTACAAGCTACAATAACATTGCGCTAGCTTATAATAAGAAAGGTGAATCGCACAAAGCACTAGACTATTATGAAAAATCACTAGAAATTTATGCGAGTTCATTACCATCAAACCATCCATCACTAGTTACCACATACAATAATATTGCATCAATTCAAGGTATGAAAGGTGAGTACGACCAAGCTTTAGAATGTTATAGACACACACTAAAAATTCAGACGAATTCATTACCATCAAATCACCCATCGTTAGCTGCTACATACAATAATATCGGATCGGTTTATGACAATAAAGGTGAACGTGATAATGCATTACAATATTATAAAAAGGCACTGCAGATGCATTCTGATTCAGTACCACGAAATGACGCATCCTTAGCCACTACATACCATAATATTGCATCAGTTTATGATGAGAAAGGTGAGTACGACAAAGCATTGGAATATTATGAACAGACACTTAAAATTCGAATGAATTCGCTACCATCAGATCATCCATCGTTAGCTACTGCATATAGTAATATTGGGGTAGTTTATCAGAAGAAAGGTGCACACGACAATGCATTTAAATATTACAAAAAGGCGCTAGCAGCTCCATCTAATTTATTAGCAACAAATAATCCATCATTAGGTGTTATATATCGTAATATTGGATCAGTTTATCATCAAAAGGGGAAATACGATAATGCGTTACAGTGTTACAGAAAAGCACTTGAAATTCAGACGAAATCATTACCATCACATCATCGTCAATTAGCTGCTACGTATTATAATATTGCATCAGTCCACCATAAGAAGGGGGAATACGCTAAAGCACTAGAATATTACGAAAAGACAGTAGAAATTGAATCCAAGTCGCCAGTTTCAATGAATCCATCATTAGCTGCTTTATTTCATAATATTGGATCAGTTTATCACAGGAAAGGTGAATACGATAAAGCATTAGAATATTATGAGAGGACACTAGAACATGAATCGAAGTTACTACCATCAAATCATCCGTCGTTAGCTACTGCATATAATAATGTGGAATTAGTGTATCATGAGAAAGGTGAAAACGATAAAGCAGTAGAGTGCTTTGAAAGGACACTAGAAATTCCTTCGAATTCTTTACTATCAAAGTATCGAACATTCGCTGGTACATATAACAATGTTGCATCAATTTATAAGAAGAAGGGTGAATACGATAAAGCTTTAGAATATTACCAGAAGGCATTGGAAATTCGTTCGTGTTCATTAGCATCAAATAATCTAGCAATAGTCGCTATATATAATAATATGGCATTAGT